ATACACACAAAGGCATTTTATACCCTTACCACACTCTTGCAATGCTCCAATGTTTCTACACTGTAAAAACTCTAAAAGAGCACAGCAAGTCGTGATCTCAGCTCTCTGCCTCCTGCTGCACTCTGCCATATGCCAGTGCTCTCGGCCACGCCCACTTCTCCGCTACAAAATGGGGATATGACATGTTGCTGGAGGAAGCTTTTTCTGCAGCTGTGGGCTGCACACAGATGCAGCAGGTGCTAAATAAAATAAATAAGTAAATAAATAAAATACATTTCAGTGCTGCTGTCCAAAAACAACTAGGGTAGACAGGGGTGCACAGGGGCTGCAGCTTTGTTGTGAAGCGCTGCCTTTATCGTTTAGATAAGAAAAGGGAAGAGAAACATGAGGAAAGAAGGTATAAAAAAAGGTCTCTCACATTGTGTCTTTGACACAGTGTAAGGTAGAAAAAAAACTACCTCAGCACACACAAAATAAGTGGGGAGGCCGACAACAGTGGTGAGATTGTTCATGAACACTGCCAGAAATTTCTATAGTCCTGATAAGATGGCACAGTGTCTATCAGCTGGCTCAGCTCGGGGAGGGGGGGTTAAGGAGCAGATCTTCATGATTTACATATCCTCCAGGATAAATTTCAGATAAGTAGGCCTATCAAGGCCAAGCAGGGAAGCCATACTCAGATAAACAACAGTTGCTTTGGGGCAGGCCAACTTTACCGATTTCATGTCTGCCTTCATAGTCCTGCTAGTGCACTCAATGGCAAATCCAAACAGCCCGATTTGTGATCATTTTGCTGGTCCATGCTTGTAGCCTTCTCCAAGGTCAACTCCTTCATGCCAGCAAGTTCCAGGCTTCAATCTGAGCGCTTGAAGCACGGTTCAATCCTTCACAGAGGCAGACAGCCTCACGATTGCCAAAAACTGCTGCCGACGTCTTCTTAATTTGTCGATATCCTGGGTACCCGCCGATTCCAAAAAGCAGATACTCCTGTTGTCATAATCCAATTATGTACCCGTTGTGTGTCCCTTCAGGGCATGAGGGTTCTCCTACACCCCGTCTTCTCATCGAGAAAATGTTATCAATTGCGATGAGAGACCAGCTGATCAGATCCATAATTTATGATTCGGAAGATGTGTAAAGAGGCTCTGAGAAAGAGTCACAGGACAAGAACAAAAGCAGGAGGGAGACAGGAGAGGGAAAAGAACGCGTCTGCCTTCGCCGAGAGCAAGTCGTAAAAAAAAAAACCTAAGTATCTTTAATTCTACAGTATATTAAATTAGAAATGGAGCAATTCAAGCAAGACAACACAGTTCTGTATACGCAAACTATGTAAGCAATAACTTTCAAACACCATCCAAACTTCTGAATGTTCTTTACAAATATTTTCTGTTTTAGCACAATTATATTTTTCCCTAACATTTCCCTAATACTCAGTGTCTCTGTCCATTGAAACATTCCCACACTTTCTGTTTCAGCAGCTAAACTCATCTACAAACGGCATGTTGTTGGTTTCTATGTTGATAATTCCTTCATCGAGCAATATTTTCCTCCAAAGGAGCCTCGATTCTTTCTCTGCAGTCATGTTTAGACGATCTGGGGACGGTCATTGTCAAACTGGAATGCATGTTTAATCGCAGCTGTGGAAACAAAATGGAGCCTCGAATTCATTACATGGAGGAGACGAGCTTTCATAATGAAACAACAAAATAACAGCACCAACAATTGCAGCGTGTTGGCATAAAAATATTATTTGAACTTTGTATGGTGCCTTCAAAGGCTTGAAGTCAGACAGCTTAAGGTTTGTGATGTTTTACTGGATGTGTGGTCTGCAACGAGAGCGGAGGGGATAGAAAGCATGCAAACATGCACAAGTTCCTCTGATTAGAACAGCATGGGTCATTACATGGATGGATGGATGAATATGTATTTTAAAGATCTGTAAAGGACTGATGGTTGGTCCAAAATATTTTGTATAAAAGCCTAATTGAGCCCTTGCTTTTGTCTCCAAAGAAAAGATTGTGTGCTTTAAAAATATACTTCCAGGTGCATGTAGGAGACACGGGCCAAGGTGCTCAAATAAACCAGAACATAACTCACATTCCACATAAACACAACTTCCTCTTTTCAGGCCACATATTAGGTCTCCAGAATTCACAAGTCAGGTCAAAGAAAATTGTATATGAGACTTCGTCTGCTGTCAAACTCCTGAACTAAACAAAACTAAACTGATAAAATGTTTGTGTTTTATATGAGTGCATTACTGGAAACATCATGTTAGTTAGTGAAACAAAATCGTGCCGCTGAGGTGAACAGTTGTTGAGATATTCTCATGTGCAGAAACAGGAAGTGAAGATAAAACGGGAGGCCTGCACGTGAACAGAGTATTACTGTATTTTTTTGGAATATCAGTGAACGAGTCTGTTTTAGGTGCACCAGATTATAAGGCTCACTGTCGATTTTTGAGAAAATTAAAGGATTTTAAATGCGCCTTATAGTCCGAAAAATACGGTAACCCAAAACAGACGGTAGAGAAGAATCAGAGGATTCTTTAGATTATTTTAAGTCACTGTCAGAGAAAGACAAAGATGAGCCAGAGTTCAAATAATATTGTTTCAGCGAACAAAAACCAGGAAGTTCCCTTTTTGAAAAAAGTTTACCTTTGATGTCGCTTCCCGTTTCACTTTTTTCGCACCAAGTTCAAAATAAATTATACCGGTTATGTGACAAAATGGGTAAATCATGTGTACTATGTCAGATTATTTTTTTTTTTTTAAATATTAAGATTTCTTCCACTTTTTGGATTTATAGGACATGCACATCACATGCACTTTAAATTAATTAGACACTGTTAATTCAGGATTACAATATAAAAATGAAAACTGCCAAAAATAAAATAATTTATGATTTGTTTTTAACCTGTTTAAGCTGCCTCTCTTTCTGTAAATCAAATATAATCTATCTTTGCCTGAATTCCATGACGACATGAAGGTCATTTAAATGTAAACAGGGGGATGTGTGTGGGCGGGAGAAGCAGAAGTGATTTAATCAGCAGAAACATTTGACAAGACCTTTGGGATGAAGAGAGGACAGTGCAGCATGTCCCACCACCTCGCTGATTTACGCTCCCTTGACGTAACGGTGGAAAACGGCGTCTCTGTGACTCCTGCCGTGATTTCTATTGAAAATCATGGCGGCGTGACGATTTAGACTCCATTTTATTTGTCACACAAGGTTAGTAGCAGCTAGAAAAAAGTAACACTTTACATTACAGCTCAACGTTGGGCTGAAAATGATGCCATGGAAAAGGCAAAAACTGGGTAAAAATAAGGTATTCAGTATATAATACTGAACTGTTGACAATAACATTGCACCA